GAGCTTCCAGGAATGGAGACTTTTGGTGGACGCTGAGTGGAGAATGTATTTTAGGGGCGGAGCTTCCAGAATCCACACATGGAGACTTCCGGTTTAATCAGTTTTGTTTCGTTATTTCGGAAAGAGTGGAAAATTCCCGGTGTTGCGAGAGAAGAGTGACGGGGAAACGAAGGGTGAGGAGGGCGTGTTGGTCCGGGAAGCTTTGATGCACCAGCTGAAACCTGTCGAAAAACGAAAGTTGCTTCTCCTCCTGCTGAGAGCTGACAACAAACGTGCTGCACTTAACTACTACTTTCATGTCATTTTAAATAATGATTAAAAATCATTAATGTTAGACTCGGGACTCCAAGAAAACGGGAACATTTTCTGTTGCTGTAGTTATATTTGTCCATGACACCCAATGAATCCATTAGACTACAAGCATGTCTTAAATCAAAACCTGGATGACCCTAAATGTTCTGCTTTTGAACAGACAAGACTGAGGTTTTAGTTCTTGGACCTGAGATGACTTCTGCTGTGACTAGGCGCTATATCAGGGTCAAGTATTGTCATTCACGTGGTACATGAGGTGGAACGAAACTATGTAGTGTCCCAGTTACAAACAACAAAAACACAAATTGTAAAGAAAAACAGTAACAAGATCAAGATATGAACTAAGAAATACGCTAAACTAGAAATATACTAAGCACTAACAGTGGAAAACAAGGCGCCAAAACAGCAGCACGAACATGAGTCTGTGTGAGCAAATGAGGACGAATGAACACAGCAGCAATAAATCAGCAGCATGAGATCAGCAGCACGGATAACCAGCAGCACATATCAACAATCAAGTGGCATTACAGTGATTTTTTTTCACAGTGATTCTTCTGGTTAGAGATTCATGAGTCTAACAGCCTCAGGGTAGAAGCTGTTCCTCAGTCTAGTGGTTCTACACTTAAAGCTCCTCAACCTCCTTCCTGAGGGGAGTGGGGCAAAAAGTGTGTGTGCTGGGTGAGTGTGGTCCTTCATGATGCAGGTGGTCCTCTTCCTGCATCTGGAGGTGTAGATGTCTGTGATGGTGGGGAGACTGACTCCAACATCTTCTGTGCAGCCTTCACCACTCTCTGCAAAGCTTTTCTTTCTGCAGCTGTGCAGCCTCCATGCCACACGTTGATGCTCGAGCACAGGATGCTCTCCACTGCACACCTGTAGAAGGAGGTGAGGACTGAGCTTCCCAGACCAGCTCGCCTCAGCCGTCTGAGGAAGTAGAGTCTCTGATGATCTTTCTTCATCAGGCTGGTGGTGTTGTTGCTCCAGCTGAGGTTGTTGTTCAGGTGCACACCCAAGTACTTGTAGCTGGAGACCACTTCCACCACAGATCATCTTCTGTTCAGGAGTGTCGATGTGTTTATTCCTTCTGAAGTCCACGACCACGAGAGTTGGAAAGAGTGAGTTGAAGAAGCAGGACGTTAGTCCTCATCAGAGGAGCTGTCAGTGTCCTGCTCCTCATGTTGGATCATGTATACTGAGTTTATTTTAGATTCCTCTCTGAGTGTTAAAGGTTTTGTGTTGACACCTAAACTAAAGTGCAGGAAGATTGTTGACAAATAAACATAAATATTAAAGTTTTATTCCAAACAGTGACGATTTATCAAACCAATAATGAACGATGCATTTTCAGTTTCATCTGCAGTCGTTTGTGAGTATGGACTTCAGAGTGTTTCAGCTGCACATCTGTCACTAGCTGCACATCTGTCACCAGCTGCACATCTGACACCAGCTGCACATCTGTCACCAGCTGCACATCTGTCACCAGCTGCACTTCTGTCCCTAGCTGCACATCTGTCCCCAGCTGCACATCTGTCACCAGCTGCACATCTGTCACTAGCTGCACATCTGTCACCAGCTGCACATCTGTCACTAGCTGCACATCTGTCACTAGCTGCACATCTGTCACCAGCTGCACATCTGTCACCAGCTGCACTTCTGTCCCTAGCTGCACATCTGTCACCAGCTGCACATCTGACACCAGCTGCACATCTGTCACCAGCTGCACATCTGTCCCTAGCTGCACATCTGTCACCAGCTGCACTTCTGTCCCTAGCTGCACATCTGTCACCAGCTGCACTTCTGTCCCTAGCTGCACATCTGTCACCAGCTGCACATCTGTCACCAGCTGCACATCTGTCACCAGCTGCACATCTGTCCCTAGCTGCACATCTGTCACCAGCTGCACTTCTGTCCCTAGCTGCACATCTGTCACCAGCTGCACATCTGTCACTAGCTGCACATCTGTCACTAGCTGCACATCTGTCACCAGCTGCACATCTGTCACTAGCTGCACATCTGTCACTAGCTGCACATCTGTCACTAGCTGCACATCTGTCACCAGCTGCACATCTGACACCAGCTGCACATCTGACACCAGCTGCACATCTGTCACCAGCTGCACATCTGTCACCAGCTGCACTTCTGTCCCTAGCTGCACATCTGTCACCAGCTGCACATCTGTCACTAGCTGCACATCTGTCACCAGCTGCACATCTGTCACCAGCTGCACATCTGTCACCAGCTGCACATCTGTCACCAGCTGCTCATCTGTCACCAGCTGCACATCTGTCACCAGCTGCACATCTGTCACCAGCTGCACATCTGTCCCCAGCTGCACATCTGACACCAGCTGCACATCTGTCCCCAGCTGCACATCTGTCACCAGCTGCACATCTGTCACCAGCTGCACATCTGACACCGGCTGCACATCTGTCACCAGCTGCACATCTGTCACCAGCTCCACATCTGTCCCCAGCTGCACATCTGACACCAGCTGAACATCTGACACCAGCTGCACATCTGTCACCAGCTGCACATCTGTCCCCAGCTGCACATCTGACACCAGCTGCACATCGGACACCAGCTGCACATCTGTCCCCAGCTGCACATCTGTCACCAGGTGCAGACTCATCAAATGCTCCTGATCCAATCATTTCTTGAAGCTTACAGTTTCCTCCCTCGTGTTTTCTGTTCCTCCTGTAAACGTTCTGTTGTCCCTGCAGCTGTGCTTGTTGCTCGTCTTCAGGTGGAAGTTGTGCCACGGCTGAGGCAACGTTGACGTCCGCTCCATCCTTCATCTTCTCCATCCTCTTCCTCTGCAGGATGCATGTCCCTCGTCCCCTCCATCAGTGCTGTGGGTGACAAGATGGAAGGAACCAGCAGCTGTTCACAAATATTAAAAAGTTCAATATTTTCACTAAAGGTCAAAGTATTAACATCAGTGGTTGTGATGTTCACCTCAGCAACAAACCTTGAGATGACTTTAAATCAGCTGTTTGCAAAGACAGAAGTAAACAGAGAGAAAGGCGAATCAGGAGCAAAGGTTTTAATTCTGAGTTCAAAACTCCTTTTTTCATGCGTTCATGTTTAGCTTGTCGTAGCATTATGTTTTTAATCTCATTATATTAGCGCTCACTCACTAACTTTCATTACATAAAACCAGAGCAACAAAAACACTGAACCAAACACTTGAAACAAAAACCACCAAGTAATAGTAATCTTACCTGTGATCAGATGTTTGCTACAAAGACGAGTGCACTCCCATGGCTGTCAACACTTCTCTTCACCTCCACAACACAGCATTATTTATCACTCCATCATTGTTGTGCACCGCGTGTTTTACCCGTCATGGTGGGTCACATGACTGAAAACTATCCAAATTAACCAAATGTGATTTTCAAAAATATATAGCTGGACAATGATTTTGTTTTTGTTGCACTAAACTATAAAGAATAATAAAATTCCAGGATTTACAGCTGAGTGAAGCTCCACCCCCCCGACAGCCTGTGCTCTCTGATTGGATAGTTCAATTTGAGGTTGACATGACACTGACCAATCAGCTGAGAGAAAGAAAAGTCAAAATTTGTAACTCAGGAAGAGATTTACGCAGTTTTTGGCTTCTTATCTGCATACGCATGACAAGCCAACCCTAATTATTATTTAAATATATTTTACAAGGTTACAAAAAGGTAAACAAAAAAAAAACACCAAAGTCCATGCTCAGTAATCTAAGCATGAACTTTGGTGTTTTGAACCAATTTGACATGACTGTCGACGAGGGAGAGGGCGGGCACTGGAGGAAAGGGCGTGCCCCAGAGACCATCTTAGCGCCAACATAACGTTTTTTTTTTTCCACTTTGGAGTAAACTGTTGGGGGAGAAGCAGTTTTGGTTTTGTTTGATGTTTCCTCAGACTGATGAAGCCTTCTGGATGGAAGTATCAACACCAAAAAAAAAAAAAAGTCCACATTACAGACTGAAAATATGTTAAAAAATAAAGTTTTTTGTTACTGTTTGAAATTAAAATGAGTCAAATGTGACACCTACATTTGTTGACTCTTGGGACAGCTTTAATTCGGAGTGACTTAATGTCAAGGCCAGTCTTTCTTTGAGCCTTTAAACTCAGAAAGAGCACCTTGTTTGTTAAGCAGTAGAAAGTTCGATAGCACCCAGGATTTAATATCTAATAGAGTCAAGTGTCATCAGCATATCTGTTACAGAAGCATCATGTCTCCTGATGACAACACCCAGAGGTAACCCCAAAAAACAGTACAAATTAAAAAGATGGGGTCCTAAAAATGTTCCTTGTGGTACACCAACACCACTAATTAATCTATCCCTTATCTTTTACCCGCTTTTTCCATTTTGGGTCACGGGGTCACTGGTGCCCATGTCCAGCAAACACTGTGCGAGGGGCGGGGTACACCCATGACGGGTCTCCAGTCCATCACAGGGACACATGGAGGTTCTACAGGAGCCACAGGGCGGCCATGATGGAAGCATAGAAGGAAGAAAAGTGTGCTTGTTAATATAGGACATCAGTCACTGGTTGCCATGGTGATTCCAGCCGTTTCTTAGAGGATCAGAAAGGGGAGGAGCTAAATCATATTTTTAGTTAGAAATCAGATTTCTGTTGTGAAAACCGATAAAGTCGCAGAGAGAAAAGTTTTACTCATGAACAGATTTCCAGCACGATCACTTGAAAATAACTTATTTATTTTGTGTTTTGTTTCTAAAAGTATGACACAGAAAGCCGTTGACAAGAATCAGACATGCACAGCATCATTTATCTGTCAGGACAAAGAAACATGTCAGAAAACTTAATTATGGGATGCGGAGGAAGAGCAGCAGAACTGAGCAGTTTAATCTTTTACAAAAACCAATAATTATTCTAACAAATGTACATTACTCTCTGATTTCTGCTCCTTTAATCTTAACATTTGAAGCTCCTGAGGTTTTTTTTTATTGTTTAAAATAATTATTCTGAAGGCATCACTTAAGGCTTAATTTATTAGTTTTAAACACTTTTTAAAGGCAAGAAAGTTTGTAAATAAGTTGCAGCCCAGATTCTGCCTAATGGAAAAAAAGAAAAAAACAGATATATTACCTTTAAACAAACAGGTTTTATAAATAAAATAAAACTGAAGATAGAAATAAAAACAAGAACCTTCATCATCAATAAATCAATCCCAAATAAAATTATGAAGAAGCTCCCAAACAGGAAGTGAAACATTTTTATTTTAAAGGATTAAAAACTAAACGTGATGTTGAAATGAACTTTGAGTTTGACGACCTTGTTTGTTTTATAACATTTCAGTGAATACATTTATTGTTTACAGTTATTAGCTGCTAATTAAGTGATAGATTGCAGCTGTTCTTCATGTAGCTCATTTCCAGATAATTTATTTAATTATGAAACGGGCTATTCTCTTAGCCTCGTATTAAACGTGAATCAAAAGCCATTTTTAAACTGGACTTTTGGATCCTTACAACATTTTTCAGGTTTTACCTCGATGAGTGACCTGATCTGATTGAAGGATGAGTTCATTTTTTCTTTGTTTAAAATAATTAATTGTTAATCACGACAGGAGAAACCTGGAAGACGTCGACCCCGCGGCTTCACGCTGCACGTTTGGCTCCCTGTTGACACTTATCGGACTCGCTCCACAGCAGGTTCGGACCTTAGCGTTACACGATGCGATTCAAAAACAAACGCCAGATTTCCTTTTTTCGTCCCGTCACTCGGCTGCAGTTCGACTCCCGTCCAGCAGGGGGAGCGCCTCTGGTTCAATCCTTTATTGTTTCCGGACGAAGGAGGATGGAGGCGCGAGCAGCAAAACAAAAACATCGGAGCTGCAATCAGAACCAACAGTTTGATGGCACTCCGGTGAAACTCCAACAGTTTTTAGGATCAAAGTGCTAAAAAAAGCACGAGCAGTTAAATCAGAAAATCTTCAGTTACTTTATTTTGGAGGGAACACAGAAGAAACAAACTTAAAATGATTTCCCATGCTCCTTTGCAACAGAGGCAGCGGTTATTATTGAGCGGATGGACGACAGACACTGATAAACGTGCATGTGTGTGTGTGTGTGTGTGTGTGTGTTAGCCGGAGGAGCAACACCCGCCGGCAGGCGTGGCCTGTGGCTCATCGTCAACGATCTGTACGCCCCGCCTACTGGATGCTGATTGGCTGGCTCCGTTACCCTTTGCCCTCTCTTCCTGCTGAGCCGTTTCCATCATTCCTGAAAGAAAACAAGAACAGGAAGTCACAGCTGCACTCAAACATTCAAACAGGAAGAGGAAGTCA